AACCTCCACCCTCTGACACCATGGTCAGCTCCTGTTGTGGATCCGTCTGCTCTGACCAGAGCTGTGGCCGAAGTCTCTGCCAGGAGACCTGCTGCCAGCCCAGCTGCTGCCAGACCACCTGCTGCAGGACCACCTGCTGCCGCCCCAGCTGCAGTGTATCCAGCTGCTGCCGGCCGGTCTGCTGCCAGCCCACCTGCCCTCGTCCCACCTGCTGCATCTCTAGCTGCTGCCGCCCCTCTTGCTGTGGGTCCAGCTATGGTTCCAGCTGCTGCAGGCCTACTTGCTGCATCTCCAGCTGCTGCAGGCCCCAGTGCTGCCAGGCTCTGTGCTGCCAGCCCACCTGCTCTCGCCCCACCTGCTGTATCTCTAGCTGCTACCGCCCCTCCTGCTGTGGGTCCAGCTGTGGTTCCAGCTGCTGCAGGCCTACCTGCTGCATCTCCAGCTGCTGCAGGCCCCGCTGTTGCCAGTCTGTGTGCTGCCAGCCCACCTGCTCCCGCACCTCCAGCTGCTGCCGCCCGAGCTGCTGCCTGCGCCCAGTGTGTGGCCGGGTCTCCTGCCACACCACTTGCTATCGGCCCACCTGTGTCATCTCCACCTGCCCCCGCCCCGTGTGCTGTCCCTCCTCTTGCTGCTGAGCCCGCTGTCTTGTGACCATTGTCTCCACTTACTCTGTCCTACATATGTAGATCCTTTTTCACGCTAACCCTTAGGACTCATGGAGTCTAGCTGACATCATTCAGTTAGTTGAATCTCATGATTCCAGTGGGTCCACCACTGTTCTGCTGATTCTGTGAGCATATTCTGGCTCATTTATAATTCTCTCTTGCTATATTTTCCTTTCTATATCAGCACCAAATAAAAATTAATTTGCAATCCATCAGATAAGAAATTATCTCAGTCCTCTAAATTTTTTATTCTTCCTGATATTTTGGTCATGATCTGCAGGTGGTCCACAAGGTGGCCATTATCTGCAGCTACTGAGTAGCACTGAGTTGACACCCTGAGATTGGGGGTGGAGGGGCCCAAATTACCCTGTATCTTCTCCTTGAGTGAATTTCTTTTGTTTTGTCACTTCTCTGCTTTCTAATAAACTTCTCTGCGTATAGAAACTCAGTGGCATTTTTTTCCTATTGTTTTCATGATCATTTTACTTACTAACTAGGCAATTTATATTGTATATGAAGATACAGGAAGAATAACCCATGTTGAAATCACTTTGATAATAGATGCTACATCAGATATAGATGATTTAAGATTTTAGAACAAAACTGGCATGTATGTATATGTGCACATGCATGTGACTTAATATACTAAATTCAGTTCAGTTCAGTTCAGTCACTCAGTCATGTCCGACTCTTTGCGACCCCATGAATCACAGCACACCAGGCCTCCCTGTCCATCACCAACTCCCGGAGTTTACTCAAACTCATGTCCATTGAGTAAGTGATGCCATCCAGCCATCTCATCCTCTGTCGTCCCCTTCTCCTCCTGCCCCCAGTCCCTCCCAGTGTCAGGGTCTTTTCCAATGAGTCAGCTCCTCGAATGAGGTGGCCAAAGTATTGGAGTTTCAGCTTTAGCATCAGTCCTTCCAATGAATTAGGACAGAGTTAATTAAAACACATTATACCCTTTAATACTGCTAGCTCCCTTTTGGAAAAAAGGATATTTCTGAGGGTGGAGTACATGCCAAAAAATTGCCTGTAAAGAATTTAATGTACTCAATTCCTTTCACTTAATACAACATTTCCAAGTTATAATCATAGACCGGTTATATGTCCCATTGAGTTCAGTTAAGGAAATACCATGTTTCATTGTATTTGAAAAAAAAACACTTTATTAAGGTCTGATTGATGTATTAAAAAGTTATATGTATTTAGTGAATACAACTCAATGAGTTATATATTACTGTATTTTTAAGAAAATATGCTGGATCTGGATGGTGTGCTATGTTTCTGAGCGTATCTCTCAGAGTTCTCCTCATAATTCAAATATCTCCTCACTTAACAAATGTCTCCTCACTGAACAACTCAAATGTCTCCTCCTCTTCACTCACTTAACATAACTTAAATGTCTCCTCCTAGGAGGTTGGAATTTCAGAGTTCAGTTTTTAAAAAGATTCTTTTAATTGAAGCTAATTTGTAGTTTTCAGTAGTTCTCAGTTGGGGTACACACTAACTCGGGGTGGGGGGCACATTAATACTGAATTCTACAAAGAAGATTGAAACCTACCCCATGAGTAAGTAATGGCAAGATTTCCTGATTTAGAAATTGAAATAGCAACACCTTTGGATAGTGTCCACTCCAGTATTTTAGGGTTCCCTTGTGGCTCAGCTGGTAAAGAACTTGCCTGCAATGTGGGAGACCTGTGTTTGATCACTGGGTTGGGAAGATCCCCTGGAGAAGGGAACAGCCCCCCACTCCAGTGTGGTGGCCTGGAGAATTCCATGGACTGTATAGTCCATGGGTCACAAAGAGTCAGACACGACTGAATGCCTTTCACTTTCACTTTTGGATACTGTCAGAAATTACTTTCCAAAATAATGTTCTATGACTTGTCTATAAAAATATTTAAAAACTGAACTAAAAGTTAAAGCAGCATTATAGCATCAAACATTCTCAACTACTAAAACACTTTCTATGCTGGCTACTTCCAGGATGAGAAAGAAAGGGGGAGCTCATCTGAAGGAAACATATGGACCACCTTCTCCACAAGGGTAATTATCACATGTAGAAATAAACTGAATATATAAAGATTGTCTCAGTTGCCAATTGCTACATTACAATCCATGCCAAAGCTTAATAGCCAAACACAGCAACAATTTTTTATTTCTCACAATTCTGTGCATTGACTGGGCATTCTGACGATCTTTTCTGTCCTCACTCATACCACTTTGCTGATCTCAAAATTTAACTGGAACTCAAAGTTCCAAGATTTACATGTCTGTTAAGTTGACTCTTCCAGGAAGGAAAGGAAGATGCTTGAAGACTTCTTAAGGCTTAGATTCCAGAACTCATATAACACTATTTCCACTGTTGTGCTACTGATCAAAGCAAGTCATAAGGCCAAACCAGACACAAAGAGTAAGGAAACAGAATTTACCTCTTGATGGGACAAACTGAAAGACACGCTGGCCAGTTCAGGGCTGAGGCAGAATGCGGAAGCTCTACTAAGTCAATGTCAATCCTGAGGATCCCTTCCTTCCTGTCTTCCACTTGTTTGAATACAAAGTAAAAACATTGATTCCTAAAAGATGATATGGATTCTCATCTCTGAATTACAATGAGGAAGTTTTGGCTACAATTATTGGCAGAGGTGGGGCTCCATGTAATGGCAGCTCTTCATATTTAAACAAAGAGAAACAAGGAAAATGAGAACTTCCAGACTGCAGAATGGTCCCATGTGTGCACTTGACATTAGCTCCTCACGGGTTGTGAAAATTTGTCACCTCCTAGTAACAAAAGTACTCTTGCCTGGAGGATGCCATGGACAGAGGAGCCTGGTAAGCTGCAGTCCATGGGGTTGCTACAAGTCGGACACAACTGAGCGACTTCACTTTCACACATTAGAGAAGGAAATGGCAACCCACTCCAGTGTTCTTGCCTTGAGAATCCCAGGGACAGGNAGTATTCTTGCCTGGAGGATGCCATGGACAGAGGAGCCTGGTAAGCTGCAGTCCAGAGGGTCACAGAGAGACACGACTGAAGCGACTTAGCAGCAGCAGCAGCAGCAGTAACAAAAGAGACTGTATGACCCCTACACACTTGAGATTTGATATGATGAAAAAAGCCAAAAGAGATTTTTTTTCTTAAAAAAGCAAAACTACAAATGTCAAGACGCAATGCTACTCTCACAATCTGTCCCACATTCTCTTTCCCCCACTGTGTCCACAAGTCCATTCTCTATGTCTGCATCTCTATTCCTTCTCTGCAAAGGACCATAGCATTGGCATATATACACTGCCATGTATAAAATAAATAGTTAGTGGGAAGCTGCTGCATAGCACAGAGGGCTCAGCTCAGTGTTCTGTGATGACCTAGAGGGTTGAGGTGGTGGGAAGGGAGATTCCAGAGGGAGAGGATATATGTGTACATATAGCTGACTCATTTTGTTTACAGCAGAAATGGACACAACACTGTATAGCAATTATAGTCCAATAAAAATAATAATAACTAACAGAACTACAAACTACCAGCCAAAAGATAAATGTCAAGTGGCAGAGAGTGCCATCTCTTTCACATCTTTTATCAAGAGACTAAGACTATTGAAGCTTTGCAGAAGACATGGAAAGAGACTCTGAAGCTAAAGAGTTCAGTGTTATTGGCTTGATTTCAAAAGACAGAGAACCCCAAACATCTCTCTGATTTAGGAGGAGGTATGGCAGTTAAAGCTAATATTTACTATGGATTGATGGAATATTTACTCTGCAAAAACAATTCTTGAAGAACATTCAGTCAGTCAGTCAGTTCAGTCACTCAGTCATGTCCGACTCTTTGCGACCCCATGAATCGCAGCACACCAGGCCTCCCTGTCCATCACCAATTCCCGGAGTCTACCCAAACCCATGTCCATCAAGTTGGTGATGCCATCCAACCATCTCATCCTCTGTCGTCCCCTTCTTCTCCTCCTGCCCCCAATCCTTCCCAGCATTAGGGTCTTTTCCAATGAGTCAACTCTTCGCATGAGGTGGCCAAAGTATTGGAGTTTCAGCTTCAACATTAGTCCTTCCAATGAACACCCAGGACTGATCTCCTTTAGGATGGACTGGTTGGATCTCCTTGCAGTCCAAGGAACTCTCAAGAGTCTTCAACACCACAGTTCAAAAGCATCAGTTCTTTGGTGCTCAGCCTTCTTCACCGTCCAACTCTCACATCCACACATGACCGCTGGAAAAACCATAGCCTTGACCAGACGGACCTTTGTTGGCAAAGTAATGTCTCTGCTTTTTAATATGCT